AAAAAAAAAAAAAAAAAATTTTTTTTAAAGGGGAATGGGTTTATTTGGTTTACAGTTCATAGAGGTTTCGGTCCATAATCAGCCAACTCCAAGGCAGGGACGGAAAAACAGGCGTGGTAGAGCAGAAACAACATGGTACACATAAGGCAGCAAAGGTAAGAGAGTTAATAGCATCTCCCTGCCCCTTTTATCTTATTGAGACCACTTAGGGCGGGTAACACTCACACCCTTAATCCTAGTGCCCTTGAGCCTACCATTGCATCATGAATCAATTCCAGCTTTACACACTAGATCAGGCCTATGACCACATGAGCCTTTGGGGGGACATCTAGACCCAAACCATAACATTCTGCCCCTGGCCCCCCCAAAGACTCATGTACATTCCTTTACACAAAAGGCATTTAGTCCATCTCTAAAAGTTGCCAAAATCTGAATCATTTTAGCATTGCCGAAAAGTCCAAGTCCAAAGTCTCCTCTGAGATTTAAGGCAAACTCTTAACTGCAGGCCCCTGTACAAATGAAAAGAAAGTCAAACACTTCCAACATTCAGTGGCACAAGGTAGACATTACCATTCCAAAAGGTACAAATAGGATACAAAGGAAAGGGACCAAAGTAAGTCCAAAATCCAGTAGGAGAATCATTAAATCCCACAGTTCTATTTTCAGCATCCCCAACAATCTGTGGCAAATTGTGAACTCCAGGGGGTTTTGGTGGCTGTGTCCCTACAGCACTTTTGGTGGTTGTAGCTCCCATGGCTTCTCTCTTGGGCCAGCCCTGCTCCCTCCTTGCAGCTTTCCTCAGACAATCCATGCTCCTGGGGTCTCCAATGCACCTTTGGCTTCACACAGCTTCACACACTGCTCTATCAGGGACACCCTGCCTGGCCTCCCAAGCCATCTGAAATCTGGGTGGAAGCCTTCCTGACCCCACAACTCTTGCATTCTGCATGCGCCTAAAACCAGTGCCGCGAGGTGATGCCAAGGTCTGCTGCCAGCTGCAGCAGTAGTAGCCAGTCTTCCCTCTCTCTTAGCTGTAGCGGTTGAGTACCTGGATTGCTAAGAGCTCTGAACCCAATCCTGAGGAACAAATTCTCTAGGCTGCCACCATTTTGGAACAGCTTCCCTAGGCTGCCATTTTGGAACAACTACCCTAGGCTGCCACTATTTTGGAACATGGTGTGGCTGTCGCCATTATGGAACCTGGTTCTCTGGGGCTTTTTTTCTCAAAGCAAATTCCTTCACCTTCATAACTCTGAGGCTGCAAAGTGTGGAGACCTGGTGCTTCCTGTGATGCTGTCAAACTACCTTTTCTATTTTCCTGTTCCTTCTCAGTAATAAAGATATGCTCTGCTCTGTCTTTGCAGTCTACAGCTTTACTGGAGTTCCCTTTCTGGCCCAACTCAAAATGTTTTAAATCATTCTGCTGGTCTCTTTGTTCTTGATTCTCCACATAGATCTGGCTAAAAGCCCCCAGCAGTAGCCATGCCACTGCCTCAATATTCTACTGCCTTGAAATTTCTTCTTCAAGATTAATTACTCCACCACCCTTAATCTCAGTCTCAGGCGAAGTCTCTGGACATGAACAAAATGCAGACAGGGCCAGGGATTTAGCTCAGAGGTTCTGCCACCTGCCTCGCAAGCTCAAGGACCTGAGTTTGATCCCTGGTACCAAAAAAACAAAACAAAAACAAAATGCAGACAAACTTTCTGCCAAGCCATAACACACATCATCTGTAGTCCAACAGCCAATGCAGACCTTCTTCCTACCAGAAACCTTCCCAGCCTGGTCTTTATAAGCTTTCTGGTCTTCTGATCTCTGACCAGAATCTCCCATACAGAACAGCCTAAGGCATTCCAGCCCTACGTTTTTAGCGGGAGCTCTGAACCTTCCAGCAAAGTCTCTGAACATGAGCAAAATTCAGACAAACTCTCTGTCAAGTCGTAACAAACATCTTCTGGAGTCCAGCAGCCAATGCAGTCTTTCTTCCCAGCAGAAACCTCCTGAGCCTGGTCTCTACTGGCTTCCTGGTCTTCTGAGCTCTGACCAGACTCTCCCATACAGAACAAACTAAGGCATTCCAGTGCTGCTTCTGTAGCCAGAATCTCTGGATCTTTCCTAACTCTTCTCCTTCCCACAAACCGGTTCCAAAGGCTTTTGAGCCACATGGCCAGGTAATGTCACAGCAACGACTCCACTTCTCTGGTACCAAATTTCTGTGTTAGTTACTTTTCTCTCATTGCTGAGACAAAATGCCAGACACTCAAAGTTAAAGGGGAAGGGGTTTATTTGACTTACTGTTCATACAGGTTTCAGTCGCAATCAGCCAACTCCAAGGCAGGGATGAAAAACAGGCATGGCAGAGCAAAAACAACATGGTACACACAAGGCAGCAAAGGTAACAAGAGCAAAAAAGAAAAAATTTTTTAAATTAAAAGAGTAAAAAAAAAAAAAGAGTATCTGGGGCCGGGGATTTAGCTCAGTGGTTCTGCCACCTGCCTCGGTACTGTAAAGACCCGAGTTCGATCCACGGTACCAAAAAAAAAAGTATCTGCATTTATGAACAACTAGGATAACATAAGGGATCCAAGGGTACTTGAACCATTCTGATGTTCACTATGGTATTGATTCCACAAATCTACACAGAATAAAATTGCTTAGAACTAGACATCCAAATAAATGCATGTAAACTGATGAAATCTGAATAAGGTCAGTGGGTTGCAGGGTATGGTAGCCCATGCCTATGATCCCAGCTATTTGGGAGGCTGAGGCAGGAGGATTGAAAATTCAAAACAAAACAAAAATTTAAAACCAGCCTGGGCAACTTAATAAGACCCTATCTCAAAAAATTTTAGAAGGGGGGTGCCTAGGATTTAGCTCAGTGGCACTGCACCTGCCTTGCAAGCACAGGTCCTGAGTTTGATGCCCGGTGTTAGAAAAAATTTTTGAAGGGGCTGTAGATGTAACTCAGCACTCCCTGGGTTCAATCCCCAGTACCACAGCAGGAGGAGGGGAAGCAGTTGTTGTTTATTGTCTGTGGATCCCTCTGACCAATTAGTGGGTTGTTATTATTGTCAATTCTGGTTATGATGTGTTATAGCTATGCAATAATTATCATTACAGAAGACTGGGTAAAGAATATGTATGATCTCTCTGTTGTTTCCTGTAATTGCACATGAACCTACAATTATCTTAAAAGGTTTAAATATTTTAAAAATAAACAACTAGAAAGCACCTTTGGAATCCTTGTGAGATGCTCATTCAAGAATTTTATCTATTTTTTTCTTTCAGCAGATTTTTTTTTTTTTTTTTATTGGTGCCAAGGATTGAACTCAGGACCTTGTGCTTGAGATGCAAGTGGCAGGCGGCACCATTGAGCTAAATCCACTGCCTTCTCTTTGCTCTTTTTAAAAAATATCTTTCCCGGGGCCGGGGATTTAGCTCAGTGGTTTTGCTGCCTGCTGCGCAAGCGCAAGGACCCGAGATCGATCCCCGGTACCAAAAAAAAAAATATCTTTCCTTCAAAAAAACTAAAGGGAGGGCCGGAGATTTAGCTCAGTGGTTTCACCACCTGCTGTGCAAGCACAAGGACCCGAGTTCAATCCCCAGTACCAAAAAAACCCCACAAAAAACTAAAGGGAGAAAATGTCAAGGGAAAAACTAAGATTACCAGCTTATTTCGAAGTAGTTTGAACCTTGATACTCATTGTGGATGTCTTCAAGAATCCTTTTGCGATGATAGCCCCTCCAGGAGTGAAGAAAAGATAGTGGACACATCAGTCAGAGAGAGACCCCTTGAAGGGTGAATTGCTTCTAAGTGGTGCAGAATTGCTTTTGTCATCTAGGAGGTTAATGGTAGACCTTTCATTAGTGTCATTTTTCTTCTTGGTATAACCAGCTCTCTGTGACTCCCTCTGAGTGACTTTCAAACGTTTTAAAAATTTTCTTTAAAAAAAAATTCTCTTTGCTACAACCCTTAATAAGAAATGCCTCATATCAAAAATGTTAATGAATGGGCTGGGGATTTAGCTCACTGGTTCCGCAGCCTGCCTTGCAAGCGCAAGGTCCTGAGTGTTTGATCCCCGGCACCAAAAAAAAAAGCCTGCCATTCTTGTCCTGTAATGGCACAGTTACTTGCCACTTTGCATATTTCAATTTGATCTCCAGTTCTTATTTGTTTTTAGTCACTTTTTACCCCAGTCACCCCTCTCCTTTCTTGGTACTGGGGATTGAACTTGGGACCTTGCACTTTCCAGGCAGGCGCTGGAACCACTAAGCTAAATCCCTGGCCCCACCCCCTTCCTTTTGCTAGCGATCTTGGGATCTTGAACTTGGAATCTTCATACTGAGCTACATCCTCAGCTCTTTTATATTCTTTTATTTTGAGACAGAGTCTCATTACATCACCAAATTGCCCAGGGTGGCCTCAGACTTGTGATCCTCCTGCCTCAGCTTCCTAGAGTGCTGGGCTTACCACTGTGTCCTGCTTAGACTTTATATTTTAGAGTAGTTTTTGGTTTACAAAAAAACTGAGCAATTAATCCTGTACAGTTTCCTGTTATTAACATTTTGCATTGGTGTAGTACATTTGTTAAAATTGGTGAGCTAATAGCCTTAATTGTTTTTTGTTTTTTGTTTTTTTGGTACTGGGGTTCGAACTCGGGTCCTTAGTTTGTGCGGCAGGCGGCGGAACCACTGAGCTAAATCCCCGGCCCTGGTGAGCTAATATAATAGTGGTACATTATTATTAACTGCAGTCCACAGTTTATGTTGTAAATATTCATTCTTATAATTCTGTGGGTTTTGCCAAATATGTAATGCCATGTTTCCATTACAGTATAATACAGATTACTGTCACCACCTGACCACTTTATTTTTGTCTCTGTGAACATCTCTTTGAACATAATGCTGATTGTTAGATTAAAATGTTCATTCTATGTTAATAAAGCATTCAAATTCTCATAGATTTTGAAAATAAAGGAAATACTGTGAATTGATTTTTTTCTATATATCAAGTTTTCCTATCTCATTTGACAGACTGAGATATATATACTGACTTTTCTAATTTTATTTTATTTTATTTTATTTTGCCATACCAGGGATTGAACTGAGGACCTTGCACTTTTGATTTTTTTTTTTTTTGGTACCGGGGATTGAACTTGGGACCTTGCACTTGCGAGGCAGGCAGCAGAACCACTGAGCTAAATCCCCGGCCCAAGGACCTTGCACTTTTGAGGCAAGCACAGTGCCACTGAGCTAAATCCCCGGCCCTATTTTTCTTTTCTTTTTGTTTGTTTGGGTTTTTTTTGGTACCGGGGTTAGAACGTGGACCCTTGCGCTTGCAAAGCAGGCAGCAGAACCACTGAGCTAAATCCCCGGCCCCATCTGGCCCTATTTTTCTAATTTTAAATTATCATTTTATTTCCAGGAAGAGTTTTATTTGGTGGGAACAAAAGTTCTGGAAGTCCTAGTTAATGCAGTAAAATGAAAGATAGAAATAAGTCTTTCTATTTTGAGAAAGGAATTCTCATTTTTGAGATGATGGGATTGTGAAAACACCAGGAAAATCAATTGAACATCTATTAAAGTCAATAGGAGTTTGGGGGCTGGGGATACAGCTCAGCAGTAGAGGGCTTGCCTGGTGTGCTCAAGACCCCAGGTTCAATCCCCAGCATAACATGCACACAATCAGCAGGAGTTCAGTAAGACAGCTGAATACATAATACAGATACAAAGTAAAAAGCTTTCCTATATAGCAATAACTGGTTCAAAATTTAGTGGACTAAGAAGATCCTATTCAGTAATAGCAACCTTAATATGAAACATGGGATGTCTTAAGAAAAAAAAAAGACAAAAATCTACTGGAGATGTTAATATTATAATAGTAAAAGGTTGCTGACCACCTGAATGTCCACCAAAAGGAGATGATTTATTATTGATTTATACCCCATCCTATTCCAAAATGGTTTTAAGTTAACTAATATATTCTATAACATAAAAATAAGTAAAGGGCTGGGCATTTAGCTCAGTGGTTTCGCCACTTGCTGCGCAAGTGCAAGGACCCGAGTTCGATCCCCAGTACCAAAAAAATAAAAAATAAAATAAATAAAAATAAGTAAAGATTTTAGGCAAATAAATTTGAGGGCTGGGCCACAGATTTTATTCTAAGCTTTGTAGTAGCCAAAGTAAAGAAGGCATATAATTTGTAATTGTATTATAAAACTTTGAGTTTCTTAGGAGAAGCACTTATTCTAGTGTGGAGACTGAGGAGAAAATTTTCTCTTGAATGATCATTTTGACCTAATAAAAGAGCATGAGCCTTCCAGGGCTGTGTCTTACTTGCAGCATCAGGGAACGGTTTGGTGAAGAGCATTTGTAGTGGGGTGTGGAACAGAGTGATGGTGGTGGCTGGCTGTACTTGCAGATGCTCACTATACTGTTCTGAGGGTCAGCTCAAGGAGGGATGTGTTTCAGAGACTCAAATTATGGTTCTCAGCTGATGTGTCCTCCCAGCCTTGTGTCCTGTGAGTCTTTGCAGATTGTTTTTTTGTATTTTGAGACAGGTTCTCACTATGTAGCTCAGAATGGTCTTGACCTCAACATGTAGCCCAGGCTGGCCTTGAAGTCATGGTGATCCTCCTGCTTTAGCCTCCTGAGTGCTGGGATTATAGGAGCATGCCACCATTCCCAGCTTAGCCACTGATTTTTAATTTTTTAAAAATTATTTGCAGTGCTGAGAATCAAACTCAGGTCCTCAGGCCTGCTAGTCAAGTACTCTCTCGCTTGGTTACACCCATACCCCTGAGTTTTTATTAATGTTTACATTTGTTTTTGCTAGAGCTGAGACTCCAAAGTGCCAAGAACCCTGTCAAGTGGTAGTGTGGGATATGACCTACCTCGGCTACCAGGGAAGTCAGACAGGAGCCAAGGGGTGCCACTTGGTGTGGCCCTGAAGAAAATTTTCCATGGATGACTGGAACACCCTCTGTATTACTCCCTGAAATCACACTTTGGTAAGTTCAGTGGAGAGCGGGTAGTTTGCACTAGGTATATGCCCATAGGCATTAGTAGTTGACTAGGTAGAGTTCCTGACCTCTTAAGGAGGTGGAGAAGCCTCATGAGGCGAGATACTTGACTAGCTGGCCCACTTAGCTGTGGCACACAGGTGGGAAGAGGATGTAGCAGTGGGCAGGACCATTAAGAATTTTCTTAGAAAATAATTGGAGGCCTGATCTAGTACATATTGGAAAGGGCAGTCAAGGTTACCACATTTCTACATCATAGAACACAGCCATGTTAAATTTTTTTTCTTTTTTTCCCGGTACCAGGAAACAAACTCAGGACCTTGTGCTTGTCAGCCAGGCACAGCGTCACTGAGCTACATCCCCAGCCCACATCTATGTTAATTTTAAGTCTGGAGAAATCATTTTTTAAATGAATGATGTCAGACTTTGATCTAAGTAACAGAACAAGGTTGTAAGATATTTGTAGAACATCTAATTTTTTTTTTTTTTGGTACCGGGGATCGAACTCAGGTCCTTGCGCTTGCGCAGCAGGCGGCAAAACCACTGAGCTAAATCCCTGGCCCAGAACATCTAATTTTAAGCTACATAAATTTGTGGTAAATCCTTCAAAGTAAACGGTGTCCATATAGGCAGGAACCAGAGTGCTTACAGGAGGTTTGGAATCTGGAGTCCCATACTAACCTCTCTTTGAGCCTCAGTTTTTTTTTTGGTACCGGGGATTGAACTTGACCTTATGATTGCCAGGCAAGTATGGTGCCACTGAGCTAAATCCCCAGCCCAGAGGTTCACATAAGGATATTAGTGCCTGCTTTAGTGTTGTTGTAAGGATTAATGAAGTGAATGGTACACATTACACATTTAGCGTAAGGCCTGATGCGTAGCACTCAGTATACATCAGCTGTCATTTATGATCATATTATTATTTCATTTAACAAGAAGAAATCTGGTATAACCTGAATAAATGAACAGAAATGTTGTACTCATGAATTTCGTAAAGATATCATAATAGCTCCCTAAATTGCTCTGATTCAATAACATTCAATAAAAACCCCCAAAAGATTTCTCAATAGTGGTTTTTTTTTTCGGTACCAGGGATTGAACTCGGGTCCTTGCACTTGCACAGCAGATGGTGAAACCACTGAGCTAAATTCCCGGCCCCAATAGTGATGTTTTTGACTCTTCTAATTATTTGTGTTTTAATTAAGAAAATGTAATAGCATTGACCAGTGTTAAATGACAAAGATGCTGTGCACCACTGCCATTATTTTGTATGACCCTTTATTCTAAACCCTCTCTTCTGTTTCTGAGAACAGCTGTTTGTGACTGTCACTTTCCTATGGGGTGCCCCCTGCAGAGCTGACAGGCCCCACCTCCACTTGATCTTTGGCACAGCTGTCAGCCGGAGAACTGGCAGGCTTTGCCTGCCTGTGAAACCTCCACTAGAAATCTCCTTCACAGTTTTTCAATGACTTAATTTTTTCCTAGTGTCATGTTATAATACAAGGATAGTATAGACTGTGAGGATGTGTGTGTGTTTTCACATTTTTGTCGTTATTGTGTTTGATTCTTTTCTCTTAGAGAAAAGCTCCTGAAAGTTTACAATTGAATTTTAACCTGTCCAATACCAAATTTGTTTTTTTTTAAGGTTTCTTTCTGATGCTTGGAAACTATTCTATGAGCTACAAAGATGGTAATAAATCTTTGCCTCCCACAGTTCAGACCAAGAATTCACTGCAACAAGGTAAACAAAACAAATATATACATACAAATATGCAATATATATTTTTCCTGTTTTTCTCTGGGCTTGCTGTACTTTCACCCTTAGATTCCATCAGGTGATATTTATAGGTAAGTGTAGGGCAGGCTCCCCAGTGGGATAAGAGCACTGTTATAAGGTGAGCTGTGACTCATTTGGGCAGTCTTTGTGCTCTTCCCTCTTGGATGATCAATTTTATTTCCACTCAGAGTTGTAGCAAAGGTAGAAATAACCCCCTCCCAGTTTTTTAGTGTGAGAGTGTGTGTGTGTGTGTGTGTGTGTGTGTGTCACTGAGGATTGAACTCAGAAGTGCTTTACCACTAATGTACATCTCCAGTCATTTTTATTTGGAGATAAGGGCTTGCTAAGTTGCCCATGTTGCCCTTAAAACTTTTTTTCTTCTTCTTTTTTTTCCCTTTCAAGGCAGATATGGGACCTCTGAGCTAAATCCCCTTTTGTTGTTGTTGTTCTTATTTTTGGTACCAGGGATTGAACTCAGGACCTTGTGCTACTTTTTGTTGTTTTTTTGAGTCAAGGTCTTGCTATGTAGTTCACACTGGCCTTGAACTCATTATGTAGCCTAGGCTGGCCTCAAATTCATGGAAATCCTCCTGCTTCAGCCTCCCAAGTGCTGGCGCTGAACTTTCAGTCCTCCTGGCTTAACATACTGAGTTGCTATGATTACACATGCACTATCATGCCAGCTTTTGTTAATTTCAAATACTAGAAGTAATAACTTGTATTTGTTATTTGAATTTCTTGCTACTTATTATTTGTTGTTTGTTTGTTTGTTTGTTTGGTACCAGAATTGAACTTGGGACCCTGTACTTGCAAAGCAGGCAGTAGCACCACTGAGCCAAATCCCTGGCCCTGCTGTTTATTTGAATTAAGTCTCCATCCTTTTTTGTGCAAAAGACGGTATTCATCCATAATATGGGGCAAGGAATATGGAAATATCAAGGGGGAGATGGAAGTCCTGCCCAAATATAGTGGCTTTGCACACTGCATACTCTTTTTTCGGATTGTTAGACTAACCCCTTCAAAGATACTTAAAATTTCCGTTATAACAAGTATTAGAAATATTAACAGGGGAAGAAGTTATATTCTTTTCTTTGTTTTCTTTTTGAGACAGGATCTTGCTATGTAGTTCAAGGTGGCCTTGAGCTCACTATGTAGTCCAGACTGGCCTCGAATTAACAGCAATCCTCCTGCCTCAGTCTCCTGAGTACTGGGATTACCAGGATGCACCACCGTGCCTAGCTTCCCGTACTCTTTTGTTTCTTGTACACACTTTTTTTTTTTTTTCCTTTGGTACCAGGGATCAAACTTGGGACCTTGAGCTTGTGAGGCTGGTGGTGGCACCACTGAGCTAAATCCCAGGCCCCGTACACACTTTTTTTTTTAAACCAAGTGTCATCATTCATAGATTTATAAGAAACTTATATTCTGCCTTCCTAGGGAGGGTGTCATAATTGGTAGGGTCCAAGTACAAAATTGAGGACATTTTTTACTTCTTTTTTTATTAGTATATGTTTGCAATATATATTAATTACATTCATCTTGGGAAATTAGTACATATACATACCACATTTTTACTTTCCCTTCTCCTCCTTGCCCTCCTGTTTCCCCCATCTCCAGATCCCCTTTCCATCTACACAAAGGCTACTTCCCTGTTTCCTATCATCTGTCTTTTATTTTGCTGTTTAAATTATTTGTGCTTTGTGTTTCTTATATAAGAAAAAACATGTGATACTTAACCTTCTGTGCCAGATTTATTTTTACTTAGCCTTACGGTCTCAAGGCACATCCATTTTTCTACAAATGACTCAAATTTGTCCTTCTTTTTGGCTGAGTAGTAATCCATTTTGTATATTTACCACATTTTCTTTATGCATTCATAAAACTGAGAACTTTAATGAGCAATTTTTGTTTTCTCTTGAGTGTGCATGAGTACATCCTTTGAAATAAAACATCACTAGTATATGTGGTCCATCTTCACAGAAACATTAAGAAGGATTTTTGGTTGAGTCGGGGAGGTTTTTATTGCACTTGTTTTGGTTAGAGATTTTTTTTTTTTTTTTTTAGGTATCGGGGATTGAACCTCAGGTCCTTGCGCTTGTGCAGCAGGCAGCGAAACCACTGAGCTAAATCCCCAGCCCCAATTGCCCTTGTTTTTTGTTTGTTTGTTATTTGGAGGCAGGGTCTTGCTATGTAGTTCAGGCTGGCCTTGAACTCACTATGTAGACCAGGTTGGCTGGAAACTTGCAGCAATTCTCCTGACTCAGCCTCCCTGAGTGTTGGGATTACTGGCATGTATCACCTTACCTGGCTATTGCTCTTTTTTTTTTGGTACCGGGGATCAAACTCGGGTCCTTGGGCTTGCGCAGCAGGCAGCGAAACCACTGAGCTAAATCCCTAGCCCTATTGCTCATTTTTTAAGATTGGTTCATACTTGGGAAGTCAGTTGTCTTTGACCTGGTCTTGGGTACCTCTAAAAAATTTAAGGATAATTCAGCTTAGTAGAAGAAATTTTTAAATGAAGAACTTCAGACATTATCTTTAAAGAGTTTTCTTAAAAGCAGTGAGTTCTTGAAAACCAGTTTTCTTCATTTAGATCTGTGTCTCATGTTTATCATTAAATCTAGATATCAGCTGATGGTTATGAAGTAGAAAATCTCATCTCTGAAGACCTCACAAAGAGAAGCCATGGTTTTAGGACAGAGTATTTCATTAAGCCACCAGTCCACGTGACAGTTTCCTTTCCCTTTAATGTGGAAATCTGTAGGATTCACTTAGACCTCACAGCTTGGGGCAGCCAGAATGTCACTGGCCTGGAGATGTACACGTCCACCTTATCCAGCAGAGCCTCTTGGAGTGGGCCCAAGTGCCAGGGCCTCGGCTCCACCGAGCCCTCTGTGCCCAACAAAGAGGCGTTCACCTTGGTCGGCAAAGTCTTGCTGAAGAACCAGAGCCAAGTGGTATTCAGCCACCGGGGCTTCAAGGCCAGGCCACCTTTTAGCCCAGTGGAAGTCACACTTCCCTCCCCTGCAGTTATGGCCCAGGAGCTCTGGAATAAAGGGACTCTTTCCCTTTGCCATGTGGCCCACCTCAGGATCTGCATCACCCACGTGACGGGCAGTGGTGTCCCTTGCATCAAGAGGTTGGAGGTGTGGGGTCAGCCGGCCAAGACTTGCTCTCAGGAGGTGATAGACAGTGTCTTGCTGGTGGCCTCAGAGAGTATACCTCAGGACCTGGCCCTGCAGAACCGAGCCTTGCCCATGGAGAGTGACTGTCACTCCGAAGGCCAATCTGAGGGCCAGCAGGCCCCTTCCAGCCTGCGAGAGCTGGCTGAGGTGATTTGGGAAGTGCCTGAGGAGTTCCTGGATCCCATCACCCTGGAGATCATGCCCTGCCCCATGCTGCTGCCCTCGGGCAAGGTCATCGATCAGAGCACCCTAGAGAAGTGTAACCGCAGTGAGGCCACTTGGGGCCGAGTGCCCAGTGACCCATTCACAGGCATTGCCTTCACCCCGCACTCCCAACCCCTGCCACACCCCACCCTGAAGGCCCGCATAGACCACTTCCTGCTCCAGCACTCTGTCCCTAGCTGCCACCTGCTTGGGAGAGCACAGGCTGCATCAGCAGTGACCCCTTCTTCCATAACCCTGCCTTCTCGGAAAAGGAAGCTGGAGCAGGGGCACCGGGCCCCAGACAGTAGCCTTGGTGTGAACACTTCCTGCTTTCGGACCACAAACTTTCTGGTCTCTTCCACTGCTTCAGAACATTCCACCAAGAAAATGAAGGCCACCGACGAGCCTATCCTGATGCACATGGACTGCTCCACAGGTAATGCACCATCCTGTGTCCATGGCCCATTGTCATCCCTGTCCTTGCTGATAGGTGGCACTGCTGCCCTTGGCCCTATGCTTTGCCAGCTTACATCCCTCAGGCTATGTCCATGCTACTCCCATCTCTCTCCTTTTTTTTTCTTTTGAGACAGTCTCAGTATGTAGTTCAGGCTGGCCTCAAACTCATGGTGATCCTCCTGCCTCAGCCTCCTGAGTGCTGGGATTGCAGTCATGCATTACCATGCCCAGCTGCCTTCTCATCTTGTAGGGTACCTCAGTTTTGTCTTTAGATCTGAGAAAATCTGGAGGCCTTGGAGGGGTTGTGTGTGTTCCCCTCTTCCCAGGCTTCTGCCACGTGTGTTCTGTTCTTCCAGCCAGGGAAGGTCCCACTGGTATGTTTGCCTGCCTCAGGCTCCCTTTGTATACCCTGGCCAGGCCAGTGCTTTTTCATGGCTTCAGTCTTCTGGTCTCAGCTGCTAAGAGGAGAGATACTAAGTCCCTCCGAGCAGACCCTGTCTTCTTCTGGGTACCTTCTCCTTTTCTTCCTCCTCCTTTTTGAGGGGAGCAGATGTGAGGCGGGTCTCATCATACAGTCCAATTGGCCCTGAACTTGCTAAATTGACCAAGCTGGTCCCAGACTTGGAATCCTCTGCCTCAGTCTCCCAACTGCTGGGGTAACAGGCGTGTGCCATCATACCCAGGCCTTATGGTATGGTTTATGTTCCTCCTCTATCAGGGGCTTCTCTGGAGTGTTATTTCTAACCTTTACAGTTGAATACTGATAGAAGCATGTCAGGTCCTCTTTGCCATACCTCACCACAAGGCGCCACAAAAACCAGGAGTGGCAGAGCACTAGGGTGCGGGCCTTCTTTTCAGGAGCAAAAAGCCACACTAAAGATAGTGTACTCAGTAAATGTGGGGCTGGATCACACATTTTTTAATGTGAGACTGAAGCCTCCGTGATCCCCACCTCTTCTCAGGGTGACACCAGGGATTTCTGGGACCCACCATGCTGCCGTCTCTGAGGAGAGCAACCTGGCTCATGTGGCCACCTCTGCAGCTGCATGCACTCGGCAGCCATGTAGCTATGCTGGAACAGAGCTGTAATCAAAGCCCCCACCCACTCTGTGTGTTTACTAGGCTCAGCTTTGGAGGCCATTGTTCTACTGAACCCCACATTCGTGTCCATGTTCATACCCTGAACGTGAAAGACCATGTGTTGTTCCAAATAAGATTGACAAGCAGTGTATTTAATTCTAGTGAAGGCAAGGGAAAAGAGAAATGAAGGAATAGAAATATAAAATGTCTTCTTGGCTGAGAGCAGCCTGAGTGGAAATTCTAGGGCTTTAATTAGGACATCACCTTCACATCAGAGTGATGATTTAGGGCAGAGACCTTTGTTTGTTTTCTTTTTTGTTTTGTTTTTTTGAGTGAAACAACCACTATTCTCCTTGTCCTTCTTTGATGGCAGTTAGGTTTTTGTTTCTGTTTTATTTTGTTTGACACAGGCTCTCCCATGTAGTCCATGGCTGGCCTTGAACTGGTTGTATAGCCCAGGCTAGTTTTGAACTGATGGTTCTGCCTCAGCCTCCTAAGGGCTAGGCTAACAGGCATGCAGCTGCATCTAGTGAGTTAGATCGTTTCTAATTTTCTGCTGATACAAATAGTGCTGCATAGGGCTGGGGATTTAGCTCAGTGGTTCTGCCCCCTGCTTGGCAAGCGCAAGGACCGGAGTTTGATCCCTGGTACCAAAAAAAAAAAAAAAAAAAAGCTAATTCAGTTGGTAACTGCTGGAGCAAACCCACATAAATTGGTATCTGTATGGTGGGACTTCTCAGAGCCTTTGATTGGTAATGAGCTCTGCAAACCTGCTCAAGGCCCCAGGCCAGCTGTGCGCTGACCTTAGTCCTGGCCACACCAGAAAGGCTGGTGGGACTCTGAGGCTGCAGAGTGGAGGCAGGAGGGGTGTGCATTTGGTCTCTGTGTTGAACCTGCTTTGTGACCTGAACAGGCTCTCGTCTCTGTTTCCTTGGACAGGAAACTGAAATGGTGATGGTGTTTATGGACTCTGACGTGATGTGTGACTAGTGCCTGCTGAAGACACAATGCAAGGTGGCTCCTGGTGGCCTATCGCCATCCACATAAGCCACTTGCTGTGTGTGCAGGGTGTTGTGAGAACCCCATCAAGTCAGCTACTGACATTGTCACCATGCTGACCCAGTCACTGCCCTTCTGGGTCTCAGCCCAAGGAAAGGACAATGAGGATCCAGGGAGGAGAGGGCAAAGCTGCAGGTGGGAGACAGGAGGTCAGGCTTCGGGAGGAAGCAGCAGCCAGCTGCAGGACCAGGCAGAGGGGAGGACCCCACCTGATGCGTCGTGCCTATCCAGCCCTTGCCCGGGGTGGCAGACTGGCCCACTGTCTTCAGTATCTGTCTATTACCGATTTCTTTCTTAGTAAACCCTCCCTGCCCAGAAGAAGTTGGTTTCCTCCTCCAGACCCAAATGCCAAGGATGGGGGAGTGACCCTTATCCTGTGGTAGGCTGGATGCTCACAGTCACTTCACACGCCCCTGGGCCTCCTGCTCTGCAGTGTGTTCAC